GATTCTTACAACGCGGTGCATTGGCATCTTGGGGCCTTTCTTGTTCTAGAATGCACCTGCAGATAACAAGACTCAGAGTAAGAAAATGGCATAACAACGCATTGCATTGCATGCTACCTTAAACGACTGCGCACATCCTGGACAGTAGGACACAAAAGCGACTTACAAGGAAAACTTCACTACTCGGTTCCCGGCTCACGGTCTACACTGCTTGCAAGCCCTGAGCCCACTGAGCTCAGCCACACGCCTCGCCACTTGCTTGACATTCGTGGGGAGTCTCCGTCTCCACTTAACCACATTTCCGCATCCTTCCCGGTGGAAAGACTTGCACCACCATCAGCTCGATGACCAATCTTCCTTAGAACCCCTAACGACAAAAGTCGTCGGATCTCCAACTTGTCCATTGCAAGATCAAGCTTCAAGAGTTCTTCTGGAGATAGGTTTGGGGGTCCATCCTCATATCGCCGACTAGACCATGCCTTGGTTGCTTGTTGTGCTTCATCATCTACCACAGGTTCACTTTTACACCAAGGAGCTTCAAGCTCAACCAGATCCATCTCTGTGTCCGGGATCACTTCCGGCTCGTGACCACAAGGCTGATCTTCTTGAACTCGTCTCGTAAAACAATCACCTTCTGCATTCACTTTGTTCACCAGAGCATCTAGCATCGCACTGTCCGGGAGAAGCTCTTCAGAGGAAGGCGGTCCCCCCATTGACATAGACAAGGCATCTCCACTGCTACTATGCACTGCGCTAGAGGAAGGATCACTAGCTGCCTCATCGGGACCCGGGCCTGGCACCGGATCTTCTGGCTCAATCAAGGCTGGTGCTCTCACCCTCGGGGCTCTTGTTCGCTTTGTTGGTAAAACATCCAATGACACATTCCATGGAACACCCTTTGCATTCAACACTGCCTCGCTCTCAAAACCCAGGGCACCTTTCCTCATGGTCCGCGCATGATGCACACCAGTCGCATCAGCAACAATATTTAAGTTACCCAGAGTCGACTTGCCCAAGAAGATGCAACGCTTCCAGCTGCTACCTTTGGCACTTGAAATCGGCAAGTACTGAGCGAGAACCAAGCTACCAAACTGAGTTAGTTTGCCAGTATAACTGCGATTGTGCACCAGCTCAAACGCAGTCATGCCATCTCGTTGCACATGAAAACGACTGTAAAGAAAACCAGCATGCCGAAAGGCCCACACAAATACAGGATGCCCACTTTGAATTTGCAAACCAGTGTGCTCTTCAATGGTTTTCACGAGGGTCTTTCCTAACCTACGAATAATGCCAATGAACCTCTCCGCCTTCAAACCTTGGTGCAATCGTGAATCAGAAGGCGCATAGCTAACCTTTGTTGACAATCCCAGACGGGTCCTTGCATCCATCAGGGCCTTCACAAAAGCCTTCATCGCAGGCTCGCTGTCAGCCTTCACCGTCAGGTCCTTGTGGCCCAACGAAGAGGCCATCTTCACGGCCTCCTCAACCGCTGTCCTCACATGCTCCAAACTCTTTGACTCTACGGGAACACACTGCACAAAGTTTGTCTCCTCATCGACCATAACAATGTGCACTGCCATTGGGTGCTCAGGCTCTCCTTGAGGGGCATCGGTCCGATTAAACATGAAATCGAAATGCATCACTCCATTCTCTTTGGGAACGCTGGGGCCATGATCATGTTCTCCACTCCTTGCTGCAACACAAGCACTGCACCATGATTGTCTTGGGCAGTGGGTAATTCCACGCAAAACCACTGCCGCATCGTCCGGTCGTTCACTGGCTGCTTCAACTTCAGGCTCACGGCGCATAGCATCCATGACAGCTTGCGACGCTTGTACCGAACTGCGCAACTGGCTCTCCGCAACTTCAGCTTGCAACCTACGCCAAACCACTGCTTTGCTGCCACTCTTGCTGATCTTGAGAAACTCGCAAGCTCTTCTCAACACCCTAAGCGAAGACTCCGAAGACAGCTCAACCCCATTGACTGTCAGAGTTGCTTGCACACCAGAGCCCACATCTGGAGCTGCAGATTGGCCTTGTTCTTCAGGCCCATCTCCACCATCTTGCGCACCATCATGTGGTGCTGCAACCTGAGCTGGCACTTCAACACCAGGTGCTTCATGAACCGGCTCAGGGTACAACGGGGCAAAGACAACATCCTCAGAACCACGAGCTTCTTCAGGAAGGATATATTCAGGGCTAAACTGTTCACTGTCGATCACTTTGCCAAAGTCCCCAGAACTCACCGGCTCTTCATTAAGTATGGTAACAATCTTCGTCTTTGGCTCTCCAGTATTTGCGACCTTCCAGTCCTCCCAGAATTCCTCACACTCGAAAACTTCATAACGGCGATGACCTCGAGCGATCAGCGTGGTTCTGAATGGCCACCGGTCCGAAGGGAAAGCTGGGGAAGCATCGGCAGTACAGTCACTGTCGGGGTCCACATGCATGGGCCCACCCTCAGGACTCAAGCTCCAACCTTCAATCTCTGTCCCAGACTCAAGAAGCTCTGAAAC